GAAATCGGTCGTCAATTTTATAAATTTAATGACAAATTTGTTTTTAATTTTACCATAATAAAAATTTCACAAAATATAAATATGATGCTAATGACAAACATTCTTGAGAACTAGAGCTTTCAAATAATATATAAATTGCAACTGTTTATTTAGTACGATTTTGAAACATTTGCAAAATAATTTTGGGGACAAACTTTTGTCTAGTGAGTGTAAGTCACGTTGTTACACCAAATCTGCAAAATCTGTTTTTAAAATTCGCGGCCCGTTTTACAAACAAAAAACCACCGATTTCTATCACTCGAAAAAAAAAAAATGTCAAAAGCCTCACAGCCAGAGTTGAAAAAGTACGTATTGGTTAGAATGAGATAATATCCATAACACATATGTCAAGGCTGTTGATTTGTTCAAGATAATCTTTTTTATAGATACATGGAAAAGAAGCTCTTTATCCAGCTCAATGGCGGACGAAAGGTAACCGGAATACTGCGAGGCTATGATCCGTTTATGAATCTTGTAGTGGACGAGACAGTCGAAGAGGTATCTCCTGCAGAGAGGCACAATATTGGAATGGTGGTAGGTTTTGATCTCGCATGTGGGGTCTTGTCTTGAACTCTAGGTTACTAGGACGTTAACTTGACCTCTCTCTTTAGGTTATTCGCGGTAATTCAGTCGTAATAATGGAAGTATTAGAAAGAGCCTAACTATTCAAAAGTGCTCCAAGACGTTCTGGGCAGTCAGTCGTATCCAAACCATTTCATATTGTACAATGCAATAAAGTCTTTTATTAATACTACGTTATTGAACTCTATAAGCAATCTACTGGAAATACATCCTCAGTCCTCTTTTACGATATCTTCCTTCTTTGGCTTTTTAACCTTTTCATCCTTTTCATCCTCAACCAATACACCCAATCCTTCTCCTTCGGTCGCAAGCTCACGAATATGATCCAAGAAGACCAATCCATCGTTGTCCACATCTAATTTCTTCACAATCTTCTTGATCCGCTCATCATCGCCAGGGGTATGTTTGATGGTTCGCAACGCTTCTTCGAGATCAGATACCCGTATCTGTCCAGACTCGTTGGCTTGAATTCGATTGAATTTGGACCCAACTTCCGAGTCGTACTGTTCGAGCTCTCTATCAATCTTTTCTATCATTTTCTCTAAACGCTCTCCAAGGCGGTGTGAGACTTTGGATTCTGCTCCACCGATGCCGTGAAGTTCTTGCATGTCCTGCACAACATTTAAGCAATTGTTAGAGCAAAAAAGCCGGTAATGGATGTTGGAAGCGGGTTATAATGATAAATGGAGACAGTTACTTCTTTGTATTCTTCGCGGTCTTCTTTGAGTTCATGGAGAGCTTCTCGTTCTTCAAGGACAGCCGATTTAGACGATAATATGGACAAAGCTTCGCGGAGTTCTTGAAGCTGCTGCTTGGACATGCGCACATCTTCCTCGGCCTCCTGTAATGTAACAATCAAATTTAGCGCTTGTCAATTTGGTTTACAGAGTAGGCATTTCGGATTTCAAAAATACGCACGAATTTCACAGATGAATCTGGTAACAGTTTATCGGCAAGCGCTGCTGCTTCTCGTGCCGCTTCTTCGGCTTCTTTTTCGGCTTTCCGTGCTGCCTCTTCTTTCTAGTAATTCGAAATGTAAAAACCATTATTAACTGCGTGGATTTTCGGCCCTCAATATTTAATACATACCTCTTCTTGAGCTTTCTCTTCAGCAATAAGATCCTCTTGCTCTTCGATGACTTCTAGTTTTTGTTTAAATGTTGCCTCGGACATTTGCAGTTGAGCTGCGTGAACCTACCAATCAGTAAGAGGGGGGCCAAATTAACATGAGTATCTCGTTTCGATCCTTTTACAATTTCACGCATAATAAATCATCTCCCTCCACAAACTTACCAAGCTGTCCGGTAAACTAGACAATGTAGTTTGTAATGCTTCCGTTTGGTCAGCCAGTTCCAGCCGGTCAGCAAAGCTAAACGCGCGTGAAAGTATTAACAAGGAAGAGGGCACTTTGTGGGTCAAATGCAGGTCTAGCCATTGATTCAGTTCACTTCTTAAGCGAGTGGGAGACACGCCAATGGTACGAATGCCGCGTGATTGGCATGCATGTTGGAGTTCCTGTACTGTTAATGAGTTTACGCCTTCGGCCATGATCATCTTTTTTCAAAAAATAAAAGTGCATTAGAGGACAGGGGAAAAAAAAGGTTGAACGTGAATACTTTGTGTAGTTATCCAGCCATACCTGGGTTATAACCCGAGTCATACCCCCCTTACATATGTCCTGACTTTTTAAGATACAACTGAATGTAGATGACGTGTAAAAAGGACGTCCATCTCAAACTGAACGCGGGAATAAAAGGGGATACAACCCAATGGAGATACAACTCAGGCGTGACTGTAATAAAATTTGACAACTTGTTTTCGCCCATCCTCTCACCTGGTCATCTTCTCTGAGTACTCTCATACGATTACTAATCTGATATCTCAAAAAGTTATCTGTACCGAACGCATTGATATTCATATACCGACACATGCTGACCAACTGTGGTCGCGACAAGTTGTCCAACATAAAGTCGTCTTTGAACAATTTGGCAATACGAAGAAGATCCTCGGTCGATGCTTGTTCTCCAGTCGAGCGGACCTTTGAACGAGTTTGAACGGGAAGCGATTAATCAGCATATCGCGATGGGATGCTCGTGATTATAAGGCCTTAATAAACTGTCCATAAAAAAATTCTCCCTACATTTTGCGATTCGAAATTAGCAAATAAAATACCTTTCGAAAGTATTCGGTAAATTCCTTTGCTGCATCAGCATGATCTGCCTTCATGAGTCCAGCCTCGGAAATAGTTTCTTGAAGGAATTTAGCCATTTCTAACCGAACCTTTAAAAGCTTTCTCTTCTTCTCCTCCTGCGATTGTAATAGAGTTGCGTTTATTCACGATCAATTGTGAGCATATGAATGAGCGCAATTGGTTGGTTTCAATCAACTTACACGAGCATATTTGTCTTCGAATGTGCTTGGTAACATGTTGGGGAACAATTTGAGAGCCACCGGAAGCAAAAACTCCATAAAGGGGACGACAATAAAGACAGCAAATGGAACCAGTCGAAGCAAGTCCTGAGTTGTTCTTTTCAGCTAAGATGGAAATCGATAGTCTTTTGGATCAATAACGTGACACTAGTGTTGGCCATAGTAGATCAACCGAGTTTCTCTCTCACTAACGCAGACACAGACATACCTGTCTGATTTCTCTTCTGGTCAACTTTTCGCCTTTCATTATCTTGTATAGCAACTTTGTTGAAATTTTAATTTCCAAGCCCAATAATTTAGTTCCATGCCAATAATGTACCAATTCATCTTTTATACGAATCATTATTGGCTTCTTTTTGGCAGAATTCGTGGCTCGCTCCATCATTTTTGCCTCTTCTTTTGCAAATTGAGCAGCCTTGTGGGTTACTGTTTCTTGCTCCTGTACTTCTTTTATAGGATGTGCATGTGAACCAGCATCATTGCGAAACATGCGTAGCTCCCGAGGCAGATCACGATAGGGAGGGCATGCGGAAGTATGAAGAAGGCAACGAGTGGAAAGTGAGAGTGAATGGCACGCGTTGAAATTGTGAGTTGGAAAGAAAGAACGTAGAATTAAATTTCGTTGTTGATGATTAATTGAAGAAAACGTGTATTTGCATGACTGGTCTATTGATCTCTGCTGCAGAGTTATCCTCGAGTGAGGTAATGCGTCTGTAATGGAGCAAGTTATGGTGAGGATGATGATAAAGAAGCCAGACGAGACGACGATACGAACCAGCGATAGATCGGCAATAAATACGAAATGAGTATGTTCCATGTTGTGGTATTCTTCTTATTATTTGGTTCATAGTGAGAGCGTATGTAGTGAACGAAAACTAACGTCAAAAATGTTTGTATTTTTATTATTTTTCAGAAATTGTCTTTTCTAAAGGCCATGATTGGCTCGATGTCGATTGATCGCCTAAGGACCAAGTAATGGAATGTTTCGGAAACTGTACGAAAAAAAAATGAGCCGATTATCAATCTCACATCTAACGCACGAGATCTTGGCCAATAAACTTGGAGGAATAAAAGCATGACTCGAGCAAAATGTAATTGGTTTCCAAATTTCAAACACAACGGTTGTCTATCGAACGTAAGAAAAAATTTCGTCAATCTTTTGCATGAATTAAAAGTTGGAGACTGCAATTACCCGATCCAAGAACCCCGCGATCATTGTAAGTAAATGGTGTTTAATATTAACCGATTACATAACATGTTAGGAGTTGGCTAAATGACTTACAAAATTTCATTTACTTGTCAGCTCCCTTGTAAGATCACGTGAATTTTAGCACAATCAAAACAATAACAGTGCGTTTGATTGCTAAAAATAGTCAATGATGTCTTTTTCTCACCATGACAATACTATTGATCTAGGCATTTGTGTGGATTAATCAGTGGACAATATACTGTATTTTAATCATGTGTGTAATATCGTCAAGGTTTATAATCATTTTCAAAGTCGATCCACGTCTTCCGAAATTGGTAACTGTTTGCCAACGATAGTTCGTCTATGAATTCATATTGCAGGTTTTTAATTGCAGTTCACGTGAGAAATGGATGAGTTTTAGTTTTTTACGTCCTCACCAGTTTTCATTTGTTGAAAAATCCCTGCTCTTGTGGCTGGCCTGCTTTAACGAATTAATCAACCATGACGTAAGGAAAAAGTCATCTGGTAACAGTGTGTGCCTGCAGCAAGATTTGTTGTCTTTAATAAACCGTTCTGCGTTTACATGACAATTACCGGGGAATTTAAGAATATGCACTGCCTACCCTTTATATTGTTCTCATTAATTTTTTATTTCGTCTTTTCATTGCTCGATATGGCAAGTCAAACTCTGAGACTTGTATGAATACATACGTACAAAAGTACTGTATTTATACGAATATATTGGAACAATCGAAATTATTATCCAGACCTTCTATTTTTTCTACTATTTTGATTTTCTTCCCCTTTTCTGCTATCTTTGCGTCATTGGGCCTTGGCATTTTATTCTATATTCTTGTGCGCTAACCCTCTTTTGTGTTCTGTATAATGAGAGACCCCAAAAATGGTAGTGAACATGATCGACAAGTCAATCAATACTAATACATTTAATACATTTATTATTATGTTACTAAATCCATTTTGTACCCGGATAAATTCATCACTACTCGTTGCTAAACATAGCCATCATTAACTACACACGGATTAATTCTGGTTGTTCCGGGTCCGAGAATAACTAAACTTTGTGACAACACTGGTTGTTTTCATACAAACCGCAACCCTTTTCTTTCCTTACTCCTTTTGTCAATATTGTAGCTATCCCATTCCTACCTGGCTACACTCCGCCATTTATATACCCCCCTCCCCCCACACTTGGCAAAAATAACTTTTGTTGACCTTGAGGCTTGTAATCGTAAACAAGGGGAAAATATAGCCGAGCCACATAAGGACTTTATAAGCAGCTCACAATCTCATGTTTGGTTCTGTTACTGTTTCAATAAGTATCGCTTGTTTATAGCCGAGTTTATACTGATAAATAAAGACGGGAGCTCTGGTAGTCCTATAACTGTATAACTTTTTACACACACTCATACACACACACGTATATATACACTGTAAGGATATACACCCCCCAAAGGCATAATAACGAGACAAACATAATAACATATTCGTTCATACTCTTGGATTATATACATCATGGCCTACCAATCTTCACAAAACCAAACTTACTTCCCACAACAACAGTCCTCTTATCCACAATATTCTCAAGAGGGATACGGCGACAACACAAATTACAGTGGACACGACGCTTCATATGGCCACGATACCTCATACGGCCACAATACCTCATACGGCCACGATACTTCATATGGCCAAAACACATCATATAATAACGGTTATTCATCACCCAAAGGTGTCTACCCGCCCCCGACATCCTACACACAAAATCCCTACGATACTCCATTTGATGACCCACAACAACCGCCAAAAAACTATTACTCGTCAGGATACCCAACCGATTACAACCTAACGCCAGACGATTACGCATCTACTGTACAGTTACACAATGATGGACGAGACGCACCGGTTCCGTCCAAACCATCCGATTATGGCGGGAGAGACTCGATGTTAGAGTCAAAAGAATATGGTTCGCCCCTCGACCGAGGGAAGAAGGAAAAGAAGAAGTACAAGTTCATGAGTGGGATTTGTTGTTGCAAAGGATGTGGCAAGTGGTGTGCCATTATTTGCTGCATTATACTTTTGATTATCCTCGCATTAGTTATCACAGTGTTTGTGCTCGGAAAGAAACCTACAGTTCAGTTCTTGGGAACGACACCACCGCCTGATGGAAAGCCGTCGTATGTAAATAAGGGTGCCGCATTAGATTTTAACTTGGGACTTCGGTTTAATGTCATAAATCCAAACATCATTGGGGCGACGTTCTCCAGGATCCAAGCTACGGTAATTACACAAAGCATAATAGTATGAAGGTAGTCCAATGCCTGGAATCCATGCTTGGAACCATTTGTGCATCAATGCTTTTTATTTGACAGATTTATTCGTTAATGTTTAGTTTACATGTTTGTTCACTAACGTTGTCACATTTTTTTTTCAGGCATTCTATCCTAATCATACTACCGCGATTGGAGGTGGTTCTAAAGACAACGTAGAGATCAAGGCCAAATCTAATACGACGTTGAATTTCCCCTTCTCAATCAACTATAATTCAACAGAAGATCCTAATCTGGAAATCATCAGTGATATAGTCAAGAAATGTGGTCTTGCTGGTGGCCCAAAGCAACCAATTCAAATCAATTATACGTTGAAACTCAGCCTGAAAGTACTAGGAATCCCTATCACAGTTAGTTCTGATCGCGACACAAAAATTGATTGTCCAATTCAGGTGAGTCGATCTGTTACCGATCTTAAAGCATTTGCAATTCTTTCGATGTTGATTAACGGATTGAATCTACGTTTTCTTTTTATGTACAGGATGGAAAAGTACCAGCAATACCTGGTCTTGATATCGGATCCCTGGGCAATTCGATACCCCAGAAAATAAAATCCTAGCGAGTTTATAGTGACATAATTTATTTTTTATTTCTTTAATATTGGACATTATTTTACACACACAAAATGTTAAATAAAAGAAAAAGCCATGCTGAAAACTTTCACAGAATATTTCTCCGAATTCGGGATCGGGGCTTAGTAATGAACGTTACATGCACGTATTAGTATACATAATTTTTATAAATAAGCAAGTATATCCCTGGTTTGGTTGTCACAGTGTAACATTATCGTTATCACTAACACGGCCACTAACACGGCCACAACAAAACAATAATATTAATAACTACGAATACGAAAGTTCGATGTATTTCAACGACTATTGTATCATTATCATATACTTTGTCTCACCTTTGCTGCGCTACTTTAACAAGTTAAATTACTTGATTTCTTATATTACTAACTAGTATCTTTATACGGAAAGATTGTCTTTAGAATAGATGCATGCACATACATCTATATGAAATGCTTGATATTGCAAAGCCAAGGCGATGAAAATTTTTTCTTCTTCTTATCTCATTGAAAAACTTCCGAATGGCGAAACAGAAATAACATATTAACAATAACTAGCCAATGATAATAAACGCAGTATGGTATTCGATTCTTGTTACAGATGTAATAATGATAACACGTAATAGCTGAACGAAACACAATCCAATCAACGACCAGCTTCTGTTCAGGGTAACTTCTAATTTCGAGGAGAACCGACTCTTTTTATTAGCATTAGTAGCAAAAACATTAGGAGAAAATTTTTTGTCATACTTATAATAGTCCTTTATTTGTGTTGAACTCGTGTTCCACACATCCCATGCATTGAGATGCCAAGCAAATCACAGGTCTATTAATAGACATAACCTTGCCAAGAGTCTGTTAACTGTAATTTATCGGGTCATTATAATAATGTGTCGATGAATATAGCCCACAAATACCTGGTGGTTATAGCGCATGGAATCCCCCTGAACGTAAATTTTTATCGATCGCAAACAATAATGGCACATCTGCAATTGAAAATGCCAAATCGAGTGTTTATCCACATGCAAATTTATTAAGGTTATTTTTATTCAAAATTCGTAATTCGTCAAAAAGATAAGACATTCCCATAATAGTTAAGTAATTGTTGTTACCCTTACAGTCGTGAAAACTGTTAACGCAATTTCATGCATTCGTTTCAGTCAAATGACTTGCAATTTGAACTAAAGAGAAGTATAGTATTCTCTAGATTAATAATAGAAGGTACTCCATATCGTCACCGTATGCTGTAAATATTTTACACAAGGAAAAATATTTCAGTCCATAAACTCTTTGTATGTTAAGCAGGCTAATCGATTATGCAGCAGGTAACTTAAAATTTACTCGAATATTTACCTTTCGTATAATCAGTTGATATCGTTGTTTCATGTGACAACACGAATAAATCTATTAACTTTATGCAAGGAAAGCAGCGTCTTTTTGATTAACAGGCAGTAATGTTCGTTGAGGTTATTTTAATGAACTGGTTTTAGCAAAATTTTATCAGCTAGGTGCTGTCACGAATTGTTTGCGTCATATTCGCTTCAATACTAAAGCAAACACAATTGTATTGTTTGTAATTTTAAACAATAACCATAATCAACGTCGCAGTCTATGAATCTTACTTTACAATTAATTTGTATTTTACATAATTGCGACTAAAGAGTCAAATAGTTCGATTCTCATAGACACAAAAAAGAAATCAGGGGAAGAAAAACAGAAAGATTTATTTAAATTAAATTTTAACTTTCTCTTTGAGTTAAACTATTTGTTGGTACCTTTATTTGGAAAGTAGAAAATTACCTTGTATCGGGAGATAAATTAAGCGCGTGGTTAAATGATTAAATTCTTAATTGTACAACCATGGATATGTTTTGACTACGGGCGTACTTTTTTACCAACTATATTACTGATAATATATATTATATACATTTTGCATACATTGGTAAAAGTTCTACTATCGTTATAATGGGAAACGGAGCGAAACAAGTGCGATTGGTCTACACAGACAGCAATTTCAAATGGTGTATAAATACTGTAAATATAGTTTTCTTACGTGTTTTTTGAGAAATAAATTATGTCACTATAAACTCGCTAGGATTTTATTTTCTGGGG